CAATCCTTCCAGCAATGCAGCTTCCATTTGTTCCCCCGCTATAGTATCCACTAGCATTTTCCTTAATCTCGCTATACACGCGATTCGTAAAATCATTTCCACTTACACCAATAAATACACCCGTATTCTTCGAAATCTTTAAAGGTTTAGCATTTTCTAAACATCTCGAGACTGACTGCAACATGAGACGTTGTTGAACATCAATAAATGGTGCCTCTTTAGGTGTGATCCCAAAAAATTCGGGGTCCCATTTTGTAATATCAACTTCCCCCGTAGTACCACTAGCTGATTTGACATCCTCTGTCGATGTTGGCTTCTCCAGAATTCCTGCCTTTAGCTGCTGCCATATCTCTGCTTTGTTAGAAGAGCAAAAACTTGCATCGGAGCTTAGAATATAAATGGATGTGCTCTCTTTTGGCGTGTTAGCCTCTTCAACTAGAAGTTCGATGATTTTTTTGGTGTCTTTCATTTTTTCCTTATCGTCAGTTGTTAAGTTAATTTGCTTGCTGAGTGTGCGCTTACTCTTTAAAATTAAACAAAATTGGTTTTTATACTGGAATATTAGCTTATTATCCGCGTAGATGCAACCATGTGCATCAATGAATTTCTCGTTTTCTGCCACTTTTTCAGTCACCGCTATCAGAGATTCCGATAATGTGACTTCAGAATTTGGACATAGATAGATTTCACCAATATGAACCGGCAGAAAGTACACATCCGGTCGACGATCAACAACATTTACGCACACCGCATGCATTGCAGCATCCATCAAAGCCCATAGTGTTGGTGGACGTTTTTGCTCCAATGATGAATATGTTCGTGTTTGGCTTCGTTTAAGTGATTTTATCGCTCGAAACTGATCTCTGTAATCAAGGCCATTAATTGCCATTTTATCATAAAACTGTTTCATATTGCATTCTACAGTGCAATCCTCCTTGATGCGATCCTTTTCAAGACAAGGTCTGAATGGATCTTTGTGGAAACGAATCTGGCTTCTGCACCTTAGTTTTCCTCTAACAATTATGTGGACGGTATTACTGTTGGTTTGGACCAGTTCATACTCATCTCCATCCTCGTATTTCCATGGGTTTATAAATTTGATGTTGACCAGCGTAAAGTACGTATCATGTTCAGAATTTGAATTGAGCCATTTTAGCAAAATGTAGTATTGGTACGCCCCAGGGATGAGATTCTCGTCGTCAACGTAATGATTTCTTAACACTTGTCGATCGATCTCCGTGAATGATCCATTATATCTTATTGGGAAGTGAATTGCTTGTTCCCAACTAGAGGAAAGATCTGTCTGATAGATAGAAGCCCATTTGATAGGCACACCTCTTTTCTCTAGCCCAAGAGCTGTATCTATGA